TTGAACCACCAGCCTTCTGGTTAGCAGTCAAATGCCTTAGGCACTATGCTACCAGAGCTCCCCTCAGTATACTAGGCCCCAGTAAATTAAAATATAAATAGAAATAGTTATGAAGTAATTTCTTAACTTTCATCACAAATTTTTAGTTTTCTGGGTTGTAGTTTAACCTATATATTTTAATTTTCAACTCATTATTTAATAGTGTCTTCTCTACATTTATAAGTATAAATCTTTGCATATAAAAGTTTCTTGGCCAGTTGCTTTGAATGCTTTATCTTTTTTTTATAAATATGATCATCAGTTTTTTTTCTCTTTGGATTTTTCATCATGTGTATATAAATGTGGTAAGTTTATTCAGAATGTTCTTTGTGATTTTAATATTAAGCAGTACATTGGAACTTCAGTGTCACATAGTTTATTTATTAGTAGAATTCTATTTCAGGTAAGTTGTTTAGACTTCATTCAGGAGTATTAAAATTCTCTTACAATATGTTTACAAAGATTTAGTTGCGTATGTGAAGGAATTGTTAGAATGAATATGAGGGAATACTTAGAAAGAATTGTTAGAATGACTCTTGTTCTGCTGTAAGGAAGCAGAGGCGTAAACTGTTACCAAGCTCAGCTGCTAACTGAAAGGTTGGAGGCTTAAGTCCACCCAGAAGTACTTTAGAAGAAAGACCTAACAATTTACTTCCAAAAAATCAGCTTTTGAAATCTCTATGGATCAGGTTCTCTGCTGTGATACACATGGGGTCACCATGAATTGGAATCGACTCTACTACAGTTGGTAGTGGCAAATAACCTAGGATTAGAAATTTAGAGGCAAGTTTTTTACCTTTTTACAAATTTCCTTACATCAAAATTACATTAATTGATTGTCTTAGGTTTGACTTTAAGCTAGCAGGGGAGAACCAACTTACCGCTAAATATTGGTTGTGGATAAATCTGAGAGTGGCTAATTTACGTGCAAGCAATTAAAAGTTGATTATATGTGCTAATGCCTATCTTTCAGATATATTTTGTGGGAAAATATGATAATGTTTATGAACGTTCTCAGGAAAAAAATTCTTTATAAAATCAAATTCTGATGTTGTCACTGCAAAATTTGCATGTCACCTACTGATTACTATCACATTTTAGATCACTTTTTTATTTTGAATTTGTCCATCTGATTACTATAAGTAGTTACTTTGTTTAAAACACATGAAATACAATAATATCAAACTAAGGCTATGGCCATTGAGTTGATTCCAACTCATAGCGACCCTTTAGGAGAGAATAGAGCGGCCCCTTAAGTTTTCCAAAGCTGCAAATGTTTACAGAAGCAGACCACTTCATCCTTCTGCTTTAAAGTGGCAGAATCACTGACCTTTTGGTTAGCAGCCAAATGCTTTAACCACTATGTCACCATAGCTCCTTGAAACATAATAATAAAGCCACACAAAATAAACCAGTAAGTCCCTAGTTTAACCATCATTTACATTTCTCACAGAGGATACTAATCCTCTTTAGTGGACATAGATATAAAGTGTTTTACCTGAATAACAAAATAAGATAAAGTTATTGCTGAATGCATCAGATTCTGTGATTTAGTTGCTAATTCAGATGAGTTAAAGTTGCTATATATTAATGAGTTATGAATACATTATTTGACATAAATTTGAGAGTATAGAATTTAGAGTGTCTAGGTTACAGTGGTTATTTGAACAATAGTTTAAAAAATTGATTCTGGATTAAAATCTTGAAAATAAGTTATCCTAATTTAAAATATTAAACTATTGTTATGTGCCGTCGAGTCGGACTAAACTCGGATAGCTTATTTTCAAAAACTTTTAATTTTTAAAATTTGTTATGAAAGACCTGTGTTTCTTAAACTTTCATCACTATTTCATGACCTTTAGATTAATTAAAAATATGTTAATTATCTTTTTAGTTTGTGTTTTCTTTACCTAGGTAATTGCTGATAATTTGACATGTCTTATACACTATTGATATTTAAGTATGTGTTATGGAAGTAGTTAAATGACAGTAAACTTTTGATCATTCATGCCAGTGGCAGAGAGAAATATAGATGAGGAGAAAAACAGCAATAAATAATTAGATTTAATTTTAGGTTTAATATTGAATATTTTAACGGCAGATATACTTTTGTAAATATTATTTACATAAGGAAAATACAAGATTTGTAATTGTGAACTAAATGACAGTTGGTGGGGATGGTTTAGAAATGTATCAGGAAGTCAGAGAAAAATAAGTGGGTGATTTAAAGTTTTTTTTTTTGTAAATGAAGCATATATATCATTAAGAGTTGAATATAGTAAGATTACCTTTTATGAATGAGTTTGATATTTTTTGAGGTTCATTTAATGTCCTTTGCTAACCCTTAATTGAAAAATTAAAATTATGATATGTATATCTAAGTAACATTTTTAAAATATAAATGTAATTGGTAAATAATACATTGTATCCTTTTTCCTTTTCTTTTGTTTTCTCTCTCTCTTTTCTTTTAGGGCATGAGTATTATAGAACAATTAGACCCTGTATCTTTTAGCAACTACTTGAAGAAATACCATAATACAATATGTGGAAGACATCCCATTGGGGTGTTATTAAATGTGAGTATTGTTATGAAGCCTTGATTTTAATGTTTGATTCTGTGATGTTTCAAAATATCTTAAGTGTTATCATCTGTGATACCTTATTGGCCCTGGTTTTATGTTCATATGTAGTCAATTTTCTTTCATATATACCTTAAGGATGATATGGACTTCATCACTTTGGTTACTTGATTAGTTGGGTTACTTGAATTAGTTTGGTTACTTGAATTTATTACTAGAATACAGGTCAGTACTCTGTTAAATACAGAAAGTTATTTAGAATAAAGACCCAAAATTTTCTTTACTTCTACCCAATTCCAGTGTGCTCTTTTACAGTCAGATTGACCTTTCAAGAGATAAAGTCTTGTTAATTTTTTGGTTTTATTTAGTGTTCTAGACCCTCTAAAAAACAAATAAATGGAAACATTTAACCCATTAACTTCAGAAGTTCCTAACTAATAAAGCAACACTGGTGGCATATATTTTCTCTTAACAACAAAAATGATAATATTTATTTCATTTGAAGAAGCACAAGTTTTGGTTAGCTGGATTTTGGAAAGGATATAACATGATTTTTCTCCCTAATAAATAAAACTATGAATTTTCTGAAAGAAAATTCTTTCTGAAGGAAAAAAGAAAAGTATATACTCAAGAATGAGAGAAGGAAGTAACAATGGGCTCATTTGGTTCGAGGGACAGAGAAATAATGGTGAAGATAATATAGATATAGATATACTAGAAGATGATACAGATAATAATAGTCTAGGCAGGGCCTTGAAGTCTAGTGTTATTTTAATGTGATTTGAAGGATAGTATGTTTTGGATTTTTAGGAAAGATTTTTTCTTAAGCAATACTGATTGACTGGAAGAAAAGTCAGTCAAGGCTTGAATTAGTTTCTGAAATTTAAACTTAATAAATTGTACTAATTTCATAAAATCTGAATTAAGTTAAATATTATTTTATAAAATAAATGGTGAGTCAGTCCACACTTGAAATAAAAATTCTTATATACCCCTTACATCTGAGAGTTAATTTATATACATTTCAAATTCAATCACAGTCAAAGAAAAGGCTCCCATATATCAAGACAGAAATGGCCAAGGTTTTGCTTAGATGTTTTTTGTTTTTATGGTTTTATTAAATACACAGAGAGGTAGGGTAGAAGACAACTTACCTTTATTTATCAAGAAATTAGACTATGCAACACTAAAGAATAATGTAGAATCTGTGAAACACCACATAATGTGGATGAGCTTGGAGGACATTATGCTGAGTGAAATAAGTCAATCACAGAAGGATAAATATTGTATTAGTTCATTATTGTAAAAAGTCAAGGAAAGGTTTATATATGGAAGGAAACTTTGTTGGTTACCAGGGGTGGTAAGAGGGGAGGGCAGGCAACACTGCAAAAGTAAAATAATAATAATAATAATAAAATACCACACACAAAAAAAAAAACCTCACTGCTGTGGAGTCATTTCCAACTCATAGTGACCCCTTCTTGGGTTTCCAAGGTGGTATCTCTACAGAAGTACATTGTTCAGTATTCCTTCCGAGAATGATAAAATAAAATAAGAAAGAAAATAAAAAGGTTGACCATGTTTGAGGCCTTGAGGGGAAAAAAAAAGAGATTAGGAGAATTTCTTTGAAAAAATTAAATGAAGAATTTTCTTTTTTTCTGTTTAATATAAGGCAGAAACACAGACATTCTGGAAACAAATGAGTGAAAAGTGGTAAGAGATCTAGGCTTCATGAGTGAAGTGGACAAAGTTAGACCACCAACATATTTAAAGTACTCACTTTTATTTGTGATGTATTTTATAACCAAAATTTTCTTTTTCCAGGCTATCACAGAGCTCCAGAAGAATGGAATGAATATGAGCTTTTCGTTTTTGAATTATGCCCAGTCAAGCCAGTGTAGAAGCTGGCAAGACAGTTCAGTGAGTTATGCAGCTGGAGCACTCACGGTCCACTGAAGCTTGAATCCTCAGGGATGCCACCTGCACATACCCATACTCTGTCTGGGGTCCCAGCCTAGCCCTTACAAAGATACTGTTCCTGGTTTTGGGGGATTCGAAACCTCAGACTAATAGAACTTTTCCTCTCTTGTTTTCTAGTAGGTGTAGTCCTTCCTTAATTTCAACTCATTAAAAAAATGCTTTATTGTTTAGGGCAGTGGAAGGAAGGCTGGCATAAAAAATATTTTGGTCAAAAAAAAATTTTAAAAAAATGACAATGTAATGGCCCAATTATGGCAGGCAATTTTTTGAAAGTAACTTGTAAAACATTTACCATATCCTAAATTTGCACTCTTTGCACACTTGTGCACATATATTCCGCTTTCAGAATAGTTTTGCAGATTGTACACAACAAACAAAAAAGGGTGGAAGCTTTTTAATAAAGAAATTGCATTTATAAATGATCTGTATTAGAATATAATAAATCTCCAGTTATAGTCGATTACTACCCATGTTGTACAACAGATACCTTCTATTTTAGTTGCTAATAAAGGGCTACACAACTCAAAATAGTCTGATTTAAACTTATTGCTCTGTGGTATATATGAATTTTTTTTTAATTAATCACATCTCAGAATGTTTATGTTAAAATGGTAACCTTCAGCTCTTATGTAAAAATATTGTAGGATGTATTTTATATTTTACATATTTATGTGATTTTTTTAATCACAGAAATGGTATCATACTTTTAAAGTTAGTGTTTAAAATTACATAGTGTTCCTTTTGTGTGTGACATTCCTTGTGTCAATTACTATATTGTAATAGAATATAAATTTAAGATTGGAAATTGGAGGAAGAACATAGATATAGTTCTTCACTTTAAAAGATCATGCTTAATAGGCAGTAGTCTGCAAATGAGGAAACATTGAAGAGTGTTCTTAGTGTTTTTCAGCTCATTGCAGACCATGCACTGCTATGCTTTTCAGTGTTTTTTTGCAGTTTAACTCTTTTACATGAATGTTTAGCAAGAAATCATTAACAATCACAACAAAACCCACTGGATTTTCTTATAGTTAAGCATTTTTTTTTTTTTTTTTTTAAAGATTTGTGTTGCGGCTCTTCCAACTAAAATAATGGTATGGTGTTGTATTACTTCCTTTGGCATAGACCAATTCTATTCACTTCAGCAAAAATCTGTAATTCTTTTTGTTAATTATTTGACCATGATGCATGTACTAGAGTATAACTGTTTTAACCTACACTGGGTATCTACGTTACATTGGTGAGCATTTATATCTTCAGTGATATGCCAGAATAGCACAACTTTTAGATCATGCCTTGCACCAATTTTATTTAAAAATTTGCCTTTTTTATTTATTAAATACCAATTTTTTATACTCAAGAATTGAGATAAGATAATAATACCTTTCTGATTTAAAATTACCCTCCTATATGTGTGGAAATTATACTCTTACATGTTAGTGATTTATTTCCCATAATTTAGAAATACTTCTGAGAATAGAATTTATTCTTTGCTTTATAGACTAAGAATTTCAAAATTGACTACAGAATGAATTTTTAAAATAAAGTTTTCTGAGTATAAAACTAATACATGATTATTATAAACTCTTTGGAAAATATTGAAAATTACAGAGAACTGCAGTTTCACTAACTAGAGATAACTGTTAATGTTTTGCTGTCTTTCCTTTCTGTCTTTGTCTATGCTATAAATATGTGTGTGTGTGTATGAGTGTGTGTCTATGTGCATAATAGCAAGATTATATTGACCATATGGTTATGTACCCTGCTTTTTATAATTTCATGTCATAGCACTTCCCCATATCTTTGAAAATAAGAGTTTTTTAAATGACTTAATATTCCATTGTATTAATATACCATAATTTAACCAGTTGTCTCTTTGTATATTAGGTTGTTTCTAATCTTTCACAATTATTAATAATAGTAGAATGGACCTCCTTGTATGTAAAATTTAAACTCTATATCAGACTAGTTAGTTAAGATACATTCATGGAAATGGGATTATTATTGGTTTAGACCGTGGGAATTTCTTAGGCTTTTTAAAATATTGCCAAATTATCCTTCAGAAAGTTTGTACCAAATTAGCATTACTCGAGTACCCATTGTACTGCACCTTCACCAGTATTATTTTTCTCTAATTTTTTATGATTTGTTAAGCAATTTAATTGGTATTTTGTTTGCTCATTCTACTAAGATTTACTTTATGGTGAATCAGTTTTGTTTAGTTTTGTAATTCTATAGTTGACTGATTTTAAAAAAGGCAAGAAGGTGCTTTGGTTGGGTGGATTATGGTCCTTGAGAGTATGTTTACTATACTTTTAAAACTAGAATACTTACCTTTTCTCAGTATTTGAGACTGTCATTCGTAACTGTCACAAAATACAAATTTCTGAACCGAGTAGTTGAGCTTTGGGTTTTAGTTCTATCTTTCCCACTAATTAGGTGTCTGACCTTAGATATTTCGTGTCTTATGGAAACTTTTTCATCTGTGCAATGTAGAGTTGATCTCTTAAGCATCTTCCAGTTTGAAAGTACTTTGATGTAACTTTTAAAGATTGAAACATCACTTCCTGATGTTTCAAAGTTGCATGATTGAATTAGATTAGAGGTATCATCTTTTGATTTCAACTCTACATACAAATGAAAGTCTTGTTATTTGACACAAAAGATGAATTAATTCACATTATTTATTAGTTAATATTACCTAAATTGCTGAACTTAAACTTTCCTTTAAGTGCCTTTAAAAGTGTTTTGTATTTAGAATCTAAAATATAAAGGATATTATTATGTATTTTTATAGAATTACTTGTTTATTATGTATTTTGAGTTATTTGCAACAACTTTTTTGACGTTAAATTGCACAGAGCAGCATATTTGCAGATTCTTCATATTCCACTAGTGAGTCCTTAAGAAATGTTTGTTAAAGATTAGCTCAGTGAGCAGGTAAGTAAACGTTTTGTCTTTCATGAGAGACACATCTTCATACAAAAGTAGGATAAAGGACTATTTCTGCATTTCAGTGTTTGTGTTTATATATTACTCAAATATGGATGGTCAGTGTCCTGAGCTAGTCGATGGTTATTGTTAAAGATTTCAAATTGCTTTTGTACCAGATAGTTGGTCCCCCCCCCCCACACACACACACACATTAGGGATTGGCAAATGTTTTTTTGTAAAAGACTATATAGTAAATATTTTAAGCTTTGTAGGTCATGTGGCGCTCTGGTGGCATAGTGCATAAAGCATTTGACTGCTAACCAGGCTAGCAGTTCAAACCCACCGGCCACTCCTCGGTAGGAAGATGGGTCAGTCTACTTCTGTAGTGATACCGCCTTGGAAACCCAAGGAGGGGTCACTATGCGTTGGATCAGATTCGACAGCAGTGCATTTGGTTTGCGTTTTTAGGCCATATGGTTTCTACATAGCTATTAGACTTTGCCATTGATTGTATCACAAAAGCAGCCATACACAGTGTATACACAAATAAGTGTGGCTGTGTTCCAATAAAACTTTATTTACACAAACAGGCAGTGAGCTGGATTGGACCTATGGGTTGTAGTTTGCTGTCCTCTGCCCTAAATGATACATGTAATTCACTTGTAATTCAAATTATTAGTTAGTAATTTAAACTACAGCAACAAGTGGTGGTAAGTTTCTGTCATCCCAACCCTCTCATGAGGTAGTCTGGCTGACTGGGTTTGGGTGTTATTTTGGATCATACAGGAAAATGGGAAGTAGGTATTGAAAAGGAAGAACTGTTGATAGCTAGTGTTAAAAATACCCTGAAGGTCTTTTATGTCTGGAGATGTTGGAGGGTTTGTATTGCTACCATAAAATAATCAATTGAATGATCAATGGAGGTTGTGATCACTTGTTGAAAATTCTGTAAATTATTTTAAGAGCTTGGGTCCTTAGGTTATCAACAGTAGAGGATATATAAGATGAACTTTTTGCAAGTTTATGTGAGTGTGTAGGACACTAGACTGATTTGTTTTTTAAAAAGATTATAAAATATGAGGCTTTTGGAAAAATAACTACCACCTTCCATTACCATCAATTTACTTTTAAAATTACTCCCTTCCCCAATATTTAGGAAAGACATAAACTCAGAACAAAAGAGTTACTTTACTTAACACTGTTCTTTTCTCATTTACTCTGTATCATTGAAAACTTCACCAAGAAGTAGTTAATCATTCTTACAGACTGGCATTTGGAAAGTGCTGTGATACAGTTGCTGAAAGAACTAATGCAGTTATAAAACTGATACTGATTAGGAGATGTAATAATGTAATGAACCACATGCACTCTTCTATGAAGACTAGAACTTTTATATTATTGTGTTAAAATATGTTGTTGTTGTCTTTATGTGCCGTCAAGCCAGACCTGACTCATAGCAACCTCTCCTTGGGTTTCCAAGGCGGTATCACTACGGAAGTAGATTGCCCAACCTTCCTTCCAAGGAGTGGCTGTGGGTTGAACCTCCAGCCTCCTGGTTAGCAGTCAAGTGCCTTAGGCACTATACTACCAGAGCTCCTGTGTTAAAATATAAGTACTACATATTAAGAGGGAATTTTGAAAATATAGTGTCTATAGGGAGACACCTTGAATGATGAAAGGCCTGGATTAGATTCGATGGAGAATTGAAGCAGTCATTTATTTTAGAGAAGAAAAGTTTTAAAGAGAGAGTGTTTTCTTCAATATTTGAGTATAAGAACAGAATTGTTCTGTGTTTTTCTAGATAGAAAAATTAGGAGTAAGGAATGGAAGTTTCTAATTTCACATTTACTGTTCTACATGAGAAAGGTCTAATAATGAAAATTGGCTCTGCCTCTTAAAAATCATTGGAAGTATTCAAAAAAAGCTAAATCAGAAGTTCTCAAAGTATAACTGTTAGCATCAGCTTTACCTGGGAATATAAAATAGATCACCAAAGTGAAAAAAAGTTTCCCTGGGTGGTGCAAACAATTAAGTGCTCAACTAAGAGCCGAAAGATTTGTAGTTTTAACCTACCCAGAGGTGCCTTAAAAGACAGGCCTAGTGATTTGCTGCCTTTTAGAAGGAATTTCATCTTCCATTCCCAGCCTTGAAAAACCCTGTGGAAGAGTTCTGCTCTGCACATATTGGGTCACCATGAGTTAGAAACAACTCTGTGGCAACTAAGAACAAAAACAGTGCTGAAAAAAAGGAGTGGAATATAAGTAAAATGAAACTTCATTTGTATGAAACTACTTAGGAAAATAATTTTTAAACTAGTATTGATTTTGATAAATTCATTGTTGTTGTTGTTATTAAGTGCTGTTGAGTCAGACCCCTCCTTGGGTTTCTGAGGTGGTATCACTACGGAAGTAGGTTGCCCAACCTTCCTTCCGAGGAGTGGCTGGTGGATTTGAACCACCAACCTTCTGGTTAGCGATAAAGTGCCTTAGGCACTATGCTACCACAGCTCCTTTAAACAAAGAGATTATAAATTTGGTAGACTTATTGCTTAATTGTTACAGTAGAACACAGCCCTTATAATAATTAATTTTGTT